GGGGGCATGACCCACACAATCCCACCCTTACCTGACCTGGCTTCATGGAAGCTTCTTTGTCACAAAGAGATGGCAAAGAATTTATCACTGGTTTCATAGCACCACCTGTGAAGGAAAAAAGGGTACTTGGAAGACATTCTGTCCTTTCCATTTCTGTTCCTTGAGCATTGGGGGGAAACATATCCTCAGTATAATAGTTCATGGGCACAACTCAAGATCCTGATTCACAACTCAAGATATTCAGACACTGATACTTTTGGACTGTCATGGAATATTTTATATGGAGAATCTGGAGTGCAGCACCTTTCCCACACAGCACTGCCCCCCCCCCCCCGAAAAGCACCCCACCTACACTCAAGGAGGACACCCACTGGGAAAGACACCCCTTTAGGCTATACCTGGAAAGGTTGCTCCAGGGTAACGCTCCTGCATGATCTCTTGCACCTGAAACAGAAGTGGGGACACCCAAAAGAGGACACTGATGAGACAAGGAACAGGAAACAGGCTGGGGAGAGAGTTTCCAAAAAGTTGGGGTACTTAAGAAAATAAGAGAAGCTATGTTGGATCACACCAGTGGCCCATTCAGTCCAACACTCTGTGTCACACACTGGCCAAAACTGACGTGCCATCAGGAGGTCCACCAGTGGGGTACCGCAGGGCTCGGTACTCGGCTTTTGTTCTCTTGTCCCATGACTGTTAAGTTTACTCAGTAGCCTTTAATGAGGAACTTTATCAAAAGTTTCCCTGATCTAAGTAAACAGCATCAACTGGGTCACCCATGTCCACCTGTCTGTTCACTCCACAAAGAAATCTAAAATGTTAGTGAAAAAAGATCCACATGCATTTTGAGGGTATGTCCTTGATCATAGCCTCTCACCTGCTCTTTCTGCTTCTTTTCTTGGGCCTGACTCAAGAGGAAGCCTTCTGCCAGGGCCACCGCCTGGGAACTGGTCTCCGGCCCACATTCCCTCACCCAGCTCTCCATCTCTGGAGGCAGGACGGCCAGGAACTGCTCCAGGACCACCAGGTCCAGCATCTCCCTCTTGCTGCGCCTCTCCGGCTTCAGCCACTGGCGGCAAAGGCGGTGGAGTCGGCTGCAGACCTCCCGGGGCCCCTCCGCCTCTTGGTAGCCGGACTGCCTGAACAGCTGGCGTTGCACATCTGGAGGGAGGGCGCTGTCCCCCAGGCTCTTCTGCAGGGCTCCTTCCCAAGGTTCCCACCTGCTCCCGGCCCCGGTGGCATCGACGCCCTTTCCTGCTCCAGGGACAGTTGAATCCAGCTCTCCCCTCATCCTCCCAAAAGAGGACCACTGGATTGTCCTCCTCCTCCTCCTCCTCCTCTGCCAGATCCCTTTGTGGAGTCAAGGGCCGGAGCCGGGGCTTCCTGCAGAGGCAACCCTGCTCATGTGCAGAGGAGGCTTGGTCTGCAGCAGAACCCCTGAGTGGGGCACCTGAGCGACCCACAACAGCTTCAGGGGGGGAAACTCTCCAGCGCCCAAGGGAAATACTATCTTATTGCTTATCTGTTTGTTTTCAAACTGTCGTTGCCGCTTCCAGGCAACTTTTCCGCCGGAAGGAATCTCAGCAAGGAGGGGCTATGGCGAGTCACGTGGCCTTTCTCCTCCGAGGCCTCTCTAGGAAGGGGGACTTCTCCCCTTTAACCCTTCGAGCGGACGTCCCCCTGGCAAGCCTCTCCCTTCACCAGAGTTCCCTCTAAGCCTTGGAGTCTTGTGAGCAAAAATTCTACTTTGTGAGCTACCGGCATTAAAGTTGGGAGCAAGTGATTTGGCGACTGCATAAATTAGTTTGCTCTGGAGCCCTCCTTCCTGAGCTGAGACAGAAATGTGTGAGCCAGAGGCTAAAAAACTGTGAGCTAGCTCACACTAACTCAGCTTAGAGGAAACACTGGAGAACTGCGGAGCAACCGGAGTCCGCGGGAGAGGGAGGCTTCCGCCCACGTGGCCTCCCCGGCTGGCCAGAGCCTGACGATCTCCTCCTGAAATTAGGACCCCCATCCGGAGATCAGCTCCCCTAGAGAAAGTGGCTCGTATGGAAGGCAGTCTTGATAGCATTAGATATCCCTGAGGCTGTCCCTCCCAGGCTGCCCCCACCAAATCTCCAGGGATTTCCCAACCTGAGATTGGCGAACCTGCTTTCTTGCCTTTCAGGACAGATCCGGAGCGGTGTAGACATACCGCATGCTGTTCCATGGAATGGCCGTGAGGATACGGAGAAACTTCTGACTGGGCTCACTGGCTTGAGCCACTTAGAGCATCTCATGTGCACTGGCAGCGCTGCTCCCTCCAAAGAGAAAACTGTGATTTGGCCTGATTTGGTTTGGGGAGGAGGTATTCTGTCGCCCGGCCCCCGGCCCCCTTCGAGATGTGCATGGGAGGGAATTCGTGCTTTCTGGATCTAGTTCTGCATTCACGTGAGGGCTGGACTGGATGACCTCCAGGGTCCTTCCCAATTCCCTGTTTCCAACCTTGCCACTGACTGAAGAATCCCCTGCTTAGGAGCTTTGTGGGTAATACAAAAAGTGGGATTAAACTCAGTTCTGCCGAAAGACAGGCAGGGCTACTGCTCACCATGTGATGGGTGTGTTTATGGCATGACATCATGCACTGCTGGGTCAGAACTACTTCCCCTGTATGGTAGGGAAGCCTAACTACTGTCCAGTTAAGCTCCCTTTGTGCTCACTGCCTGAGAACATGGAGCCAATTGTCTGTCAATCCATTCCCTGTTTGTGCACAGTTCATCCTTGTTGGTTGGAGTTGGTCACCATTTTCTTCAAGGGAACTGGCTTGTGTCATCTGGAGAGCAGTAGTAATTTTGGGTGGTCTCCAGCCCCCAGCTGGAGGTTGGCAACTCTAGTTCACCTGGAGGAAATGGCTGTTTTGGAGGGTGGAGTCTAGGGCATTCCATCCTTCTGAGATCCCTCCCGTCCTTAAAAGCCCCATGCCACACCCCCAAATTTCCAAGTCTTTTCTAACCTGGAGTTGGCAACCCTGTCTTCCTTCCACCCAACAACCAACTTACCTTTAGATGTCCGTGTGTCTTAAGTTTTCCCTCTCCCCCTCACCGCCTCTGCCTAGGAAAACTGTGGCCCAGCTGTGGGGTGCCACAGTCCCCTGCCCCATTCTCTCCTCCTCAGCCATTCCACAACCTACATTTTATCTGCCTCCCATCTTCAGCTATATTATTTATTTATTCTACTCCACCAGTGGGGCCCAAAGCAGCATACATTTTTCTCCTCTGTCTCTTTTCATCAACACAACAACCCTGTGAAGTAGATGAAGCTGAAATTCCATGACCAGTCCAAAACCATCCAATTTGGGGTCAGGAAGCAATTTTTCTCCAGGCTGGTTTGGCTGGAGCTCTGGAAGTTTTTTGTCATCTTCTGGGCGTGGAACAGGGGTCACTGGGGGTGAGTGGGAGGGAGGTGTTTGTGAATTTCCTGCATTGTGCAGGGGGTTGGACTAGATAACCCTGGAGGTCCCTTCCAACTCTATGATTCATGATCTAATGAACTTCTGCAGCAAGATAGGGATTTGAACCAAGATCTTGTAGACCCTACTGTGAAGCTCTGTTATTGGAGTGTGTGTTATTGGAATGCATGGGAGTACAGGCTTTGTAACTTTCTTGAAGAGCGCCCCAAGATAGTTTCCCGTGCGACTGTCCTTGGAGATCTGTACGCCAGGCTTGGTTAGATAGGGGCATCATATATCTGTCCATGTTGCAATAGAAACGCTAGGGCCTATGTGTGACATGTGCGTGCCTAGAATTTATGGGTTTTACCTATATCTTGTATCTTCCCGCGTTTTCCTTCAGTCCTAACCCACAGCATCGTATCTCTAATAAAGCATAACACTGCCTATAGTGTGTGTGGAGAGTGCATTGACTGGGGGACGTGACACCTGTCTTTCTCCTGCTGGGGCCTGAAGATTTTCTGGAATAGTTTATCTCCATAATACAGAGGTCATTTCCTCAGGAGAAAGCAGCTTCTGTGAAGGATGGACTCCATGGCATTCTGCCCCACTGGGGGATCTCACCCCCACCCCACCCATCCTCCACCCCCCCCATCTCCAAACAGGCTCACATTCTTCTCCTCTCCCCTTTAACCTCACAACAACCCTGCAAGGTAGATCTGGCTGAGATGGTGTGCCTAGCCAGACAGCAGCCTTCTGTAGCAAAATGGGGATTCCGAACTGGATCTCTTTGACCTTATTCTGACATTCTAGCCCCCTACCCAACACTGGCTGTCACAGAGGGCAGGGAAGAAGAGGAGATTGGATTTATACCCCGCTCTTCACTACCCAAAGGTGTCTCAGAGCGGCTTACAAATTCCTTTCCCTTCCCCTCCCCACAACAGACACTCTGCGAGGTAGGTGGGGCTGAGAGAGCTCTGACAGAAACTGCTCTTTTTCAAGAAGAGCTCTTATCAGAACTACGGCTTGCCCAAGGTCATCCAGCCAGGTGCAAGTGGAGGAGTGGGGAATCAAACCCGGTTCTCCCAGATTAGAGTCCGTGCACTTAACCACTACACCAAACTGGCTCTCAAGTGGTTACACTCCTTTGGTTCTTCAGAGGGGATACATTCTGCCTTCCCTGGGTGTCCTGCTTGCACTTCCCTGGTTTCTCACGAGTAACCCTAGGCTTCAATGGCAAAAAGCAGAGAGATGTTGTTGAGCTAATCTGGGCCAGGATGTTTTGATTCAGTTTATTTTGGCCTCAGCAGCACCTCTCATCGCAATTGTGAAGCCAAGGGCCAATTTTAAACCTATCTTTTTTTCAGATCAGTTATGCCTGCTGCAGACAACTATTATGTACACAGCAGAAGCATTTGTGTGTGTGTGGGGGGGACGCTGTAGGTTGCAGGGACCTCGAGATCCTGATTCCTTTCATGTTTGGCTCTGCAACTCACACTGGCATTCGGAAGGCTGCTGCCTCTGAACATGGAGGTTCCAGTACGCCCATCAGAGGCTATTGGCCACAATGGCAATCTTTCATAAATTCACTTAATCCCCTTGTAAAGTTAGTTAAACTCAGGGCCGTAACAATATTATAACTAGGGATGTCCAGCGTGCCAAGGAAGAGGGGAAAACATACGAAGAGAGAATCATTTGGCCAAAGAGATGCTGGATCCCAGAACTTCAAAATATCTCCTCACATTCATATATATGCAATCCACTTCAAGACATGGGATAAAGGGGGAGGACGAGTCATCCACATTTTGTCACAAACTGAATTCTAACTTATTTATTTGAGAATGGAACATGTCTAAAACTGAACCAATTCAAGAACTTTATAATTCTGGCCAGATACAGCACAAAAACTCCAACCATACAGTAAACATTTCAACAGTTTCCCCTTCTTCTGGGTGTACAGGTATTAAGAAGAAAGATTGTTCCCCCACAGGGACCTCATGAGGCTTGGTAAAATTGGGCTTGTGGTTCAAGCTCTTCCTGCACAGGAAGCATTTATGCACCTTTTCTCCTGGTGTGGATCTGGTTATGCAAAAGCAGGAAATAATTTGGAAAGAAGCCTCTTCCACACTCCAAGCTTTCGTACAGTTTGCCATGTGTGAGTTCTTTGAAAAGGCATGAGTGGCTCATGAAGCCCATTTCATACTCAGAGAATTTAAAAGGTTTCTCTCCTGTATGAATTCTTTGAAGGGCAATAAGTCTTATGCTGCAACTAAATCTGTTCATACGTGCAGATCATTTATTTCTCCCATGTCTGGACTGTATGATAGGAACTGAGGGTTAAATCTTCTAATATATATAAAAGCCTTATGTATTGGTCGTTTCTAGCTCTCCCATTGGCTGTGCAACATGCTCCATCAGCCATTGGCCCATCAGCCGCCACTCAAGAGTACTTGTATGCCATTGGCCGAGTGCTGAGTCTGTTCCTTTTCCCCGCCCACTCCCACTTCAGCCACTGTTCTCTGTCAGAATAACTGGCAAATGGCTCTCTCTCCTGACGAAGACACTTCTCCTGCTTAGCTCCTCTGTGGGCCTAATTTCCCCCTCAGTGACTGTTGGTAGGCAGCCAAACTTGGTTCTGTCAGTAAAAAGAAAAAGGACAGGAACCTTTCCCAGGCCTCATTGGGGCCAGGCCTGACTAGGGTTGCCAGCTCCAGGTTGGGGAATTCCTGGAGATTCTGTGTCTAAGGAAGCCAGTCTAAGGAAGCCAGAGTTTGAGGAGAGGAGAGGTCTCAGCTGAATAGAATACCCTACAGGCCACCATCCAAAGCAGTTATTTTTTCCAGGGGGAGAGAGAGATCTGTTGTCTGGAGTTCAGTTGTTCAGCTGACGATCTTCAGGCTCCACCTGGAGGTTGGCTACCCTAGGTGTAGCAGTTAGTGCTTCAGAGCAGGGTCTGTCAGACCCAGGTTCTTGCTGTGGAAGCTGACTGGTTGATTTTAGACCAGTCACAGACTTTCAGCGTAACCCCTCCCCCGCCCACTGCCAGCTTAGTCACTTTCCTGTCAGAATAAACTGAAAACGGCTCTCTCTCCTGCTTGGCTCCACCATGGCTGGCTGGCTGGCTAATGAGGTGGGCCAGCAGCCATCAAACCATTCTCTTCAACCCCCTGCTGTGCAGCTGACTTTCCCCTAGGGTTGCCAATCTCCAGGTGGGATGTGGAGATCTCCCACTGTTATAACTGATCTCCAGATGATAAAGATCAGTTTCCCTGGAGAAAACGGCTGCTTTGGAGGGTAGACACTATGGCATTATACCCTGCTGAGTCCTTCCGCCCCCCCCCAAATGCTGTCCTCCACAGGATCCACCCCCCAAATCTCCATGTATTTCCCTACTCAGAGCTGGCAACCCTATTTTCCCCTCAGTGCTTGTTGCTAGGCAACCAAGCTTGGTTCTGTCAGTAAAAGGCTTTTTCCACACCTATTCTGGCCTTTGGGAGAAAACTCATTGGGGCTAGTCCTGACAGGGTTGCCAAATCCAGGTGGGAAATTCCTGGAGATTTGAGGGATGGAACCTGGAGAGGGTGAGGTTTGAGGAGGGGTGGGACAGGTACAATACCATAGACTCCACCCTCCAAACCAGCCATTTCCTCCTGGAGAACCATTGTTGCTGGAGGGCTGGAGATCACTCAGAATTATAGCTACTCTCCAGGAGGGAGGGGGGAGGAGATGGAAAGCAGAAATCAGAGGGGCAGATAATGGCAGGTTGATGCTTGGCTGGGAAGGAGATAGGGTTGCCAACTTCAGGTTGGGAGATTCCTGGATATTTCAGGGGTGGAGCCTGGAGAGGATGAGGTTTCAGGAGGGCTGGGACCTCCAACAGGTACAATGCCATAAACTCCACCCTCCAAACCAGCCATTTCCTCCTGGGGAACCATTGTTGCTAACCTCCAGGTGGGGGCTGGTGATCACAGAATTACAACTGCTCTCCAGGAGGCAGGGCAGAAGTCAGCTGAAGTAAGAGGGGCAGATAACAGTAGGCTGATGGTTAGCTGGGAAGGAGATGGGTTGCCAACTCCAGGTTGGAAAATTCCTGGGGATTTGAGGGGTGGAGCCTGGAAAGGGCAGGGTTTGAGGAGGGGTTGGATCTCAGACAGGTACAATGCTATAGACTTCACCCTCCAAACCAGTCATTCCATCCTGGGTAACAAGTTGCCAGTCTCCAGCTGAGGGATAGAGATCACTCAAAATTACAACTGCTCTTCAGGTAGCAGAGATCAGTTCCTCTGGAGAAAATGATGGACTCTGTGTCATTATACCCTGCTGAGGTCACCACAGCAAATTTACACTGAGTGCCTAAGGCTCTCAGAGCCTCTTTCTAGAGCGTGTTGTATTTATTTCCACAACAGGCCTTATTCCTAGTTCACAATGAAGTGGTTTGCACAAACCAAGGATTCATATAGTTTCTCCCACATGGATTCGTTGATAACTATTAAAGGTGCAACTGAGCAAAGCCCTTTCTGTACTTCAATAATTCATACTGATTCCAGTGTTCGGATTCTTTGGCGTTTCAGAAGATGGTTCTTCTGAACAAAGTTTTTTCCACACTCCTAGCAATATTCACATTCTAGTATGAATTTGAAGGTGGGCAGTCAGGTCTCCCTTCTAAGCAAAGCTCTTCCCACACTCCAAGCATATATAGTGTTTCTCCCCTGTGTGGATTCACTGATGGCCAGTAAGGTGTCCCTTCAAAGCAAAGCTCTTTTCAAACTACAAGCATTTATATGGTTTCTCCCCTGTGTGAATTTGATGATGAGAAGTAAGGTGTGAACACTGAGCAAAGCTCTTTCCACATTCCAAGCATGCATAGGGTTTCTCCCCTGTGTGGATTCGCTGATGGTCAGTAAGATCTCTCTTCAAAGCAAAGCTTTTTCCACACTCCATGCATTTCCATGGTTTCTCTCCTGTGTGAATTAATTGATGGCAAGTAAGGTATGAACTCCGAGCAAAGCTCTTTCCACACTCCAAGCATATATATGGTTTCTCCCCTGTGTGGATTCGCTGATGGCCAGTAAGATCTCTCTTCAAAGCAAAGCTTTTTCCACACTCCATGCATTTCCATGGTTTCTCTCCTGTGTGAATTAATTGATGGCAAGTAAGGTATGAACTCCGAGCAAAGCTCTTTCCACACTCCAAGCATATATACGGTTTCTCCCCTGTGTGGATTCGCTGATGGCCAGTAAGATCTCTCTTCAAAGCAAAGCTTTTTCCACACTCCATGCATTTCCATGGTTTCTCTCCTGTGTGAATTAATTGATGGCAAGTAAGGTATGAACTCCGAGCAAAGCTCTTTCCACACTCCAAGCATATATATGGTTTCTCCCCTGTGTGGATTCGCTGATGGCCAGTAAGATCTCTCTTCGAAGCAAAGCTTTTTCCACACTCCATGCATTTCCATGGTTTCTCTCCTGTGTGAATTAATTGATGGCGAGTAAGGTATGAACTCCGAGCAAAGCTCTTTCCACACTCCAAGCATATATATGGTTTCTCCCCTGTGTGGATTTGTTGATGGCAAGTAAGGTGTGAGCTTTGAGCAAAGCAATTTCCACACTCCAAGCATTTATATGGTTTCTCCCCTGTGTGAAGTTGTTGATGGCGAGTAAGGTGTCCCTTCACAGCAAAACTCTTTCCACACTCCAAGCATTTATATGGTTTAACCCCTGTGTGGATTCTTTTATGGACAGTAAGATCTCCCTTCAAAGCAAAGCTCTTTCCACACTCCAAGCATTTATATGGTTTCTCTCCTGTGTGGGTTGCTCTGTGTGTATCAAAGACTTGGGATTCAGCATCCTGAGAAGAAGAGGATTCTTTTCCCCTATTCAGTTTTGTTCCAGTGTTTCTTCTCTGCTGTTTTTCTTCCAACAGGAGCTGTTGTGGTTCCTCCTCAGATGTATTCTGGGGACCTTCCACCTCTGGAATAGAGAGAGAAGAATATCAAGGCAAGAAGTGTATTAACTGGCCTCGATAATGGCAGGACAAAAATCACTGCAAAAGGAGACAAATCCTGCCACTTCGGCTTTTGATTCTTCCTTGGTGGGTAAGTGCATCAGAGGCAAGGGGATGAAGTGTAATGTCCACATTCAAGAAGGTCTCCCTTGGAAGGCTGGTTGGCAGAAGGGCCGTCCCAGGGGGAGGATTTGGCTATGTTCAATGAACCTGCCAGGGACTCTACTGGGCCACTCTGGCAAATGGGAGGCTGGACTAGAGGGACATCTAGCCAATCTCTTCCTGGATCCAAACACATTACAGAACACCCTTTGCTGGACAGAGAGGGTGGAACAGGATTTTATACCCAAACGATGGTGACCTAAGCTGAGCTCCCCACTTGTCCAGTGCACTGGAGTGGTCTTGGCCCAATCACTCTTTGTGTTTTCCACATCAGAGGTTTGTTGTTCAGGAAAATTAAATAGTCTCACAAATGCTGCTTTCACGGCGTAAAAAAAAGACCAGGAGAACCGAGGAGAATTAACAGAATCCAAAAAATAGAGGAAAGGACTGCTGCCCCCCAACGCATCACCCACCCTGGACTCATCACATCCCAGTGGTGTTTAGTCATGCCGGCCACATGACCACGGAATCGTCTTCGGACAGCGCTGGCTCTTCGGCTTTGAAACAGAGATGAGCACCGCAACCCTAGAGTAGGATTCGACTGGCTTTCGAGCAAGGGAACCTTTACCTTTACCTCTCTAAAGCACCACCGCCTGTCAGGAAAGATATTACTGTGCTAGATGGTTTTAGCTTCTCTTTTACACTTGAGAATGCTTTTGTACCCATTTTCTGGTGTGGAGGTCTGATCGGAAACCTTGTGAGGCAAACCCGAGGTCAAAGTTCAGACTTCCCAGGTCAAAGTTCAAATTCCCACAGAGACACTGCTCTGCCAGGAGAATTGGCAAGCAGGACATATTCTTTTCTGAGTCTGCATAAGTCTGTTGCTTTACCGTAGAACACAATGAATTGCTGAGAGCGAATAAAGCTTTGCAACTTTCAAGGATGATTTGCCTGTGAGAAGAACATTCTGTGTTTCTAAGGAAATGTAACACTTTCACTGTACCATGAATGAGCTTGCTTTTTCCTTCTCTAAATAAAGCGCTGCTGACAGGCAGTTCAGAGATCAGTTGGGACAGAGAGATGAACTGAGCTGTTCAGAGAGCTTGTACCTAAGTTCTGTGTGCTGTATGATTCTTGCACCCTATCAAAAGTCTTCATTCTGGCTGCTTCCTCTCAAAAAATGACTCCATTCTCCAGTGACTAAAATTTAGTCCAAGAGAAGTCCCATACAAAAGGAAACAGATACCTGCTGACCCTCTTTCTTCTGGGTCTCGGACAAGTGGATCTCTTCCCACTGTAGATATGGAATCAGGTTTGGGAATGAGAAGTCCTTCATTGGGGGAAAGAAACAGACCTGTGACTTCCGCACATTTTTACCACCCTCCTCGCTTCTTTACATTTGAATGCTGATGATTCATGTAGCATGGACTGTTTTGTAGCAGTATTGATGTTTGTGAGGTTCAACAAACAGGTATCTGGAGAGGAAGTGTCTAAATAAATCCATGTTGAATTAACCTAACTCCTGTATCAACTTTTCCCTCCGAGCTGAAGTACAAACAAGCCAGCCTTTTCATCCTGGTTTTAGCTTCTTTTTCATATTTGAGAATACTTTCATAGACATACTCTGGCTGTTTCCTCTCGAGAAATCACTGTGTTCTCCAGTACGTAAATAACCCCAAAAAGAAGTCCTCCTCTTTTCCAACACAAAAGGAACCAGATACCTGCTGGTCTCTTTCTTTCTTTGGGGTCTTGGAATAGTGGATTTCCTGCTTCTCCCACTGTGGATCTGGAATCAGGTTTGAAAAGCAGAAGTCTTTCTTTGGAGGAAAGAAACAGACCAGTGAGTTCCGCACATTCCAAGGACCATTCAGACATTAAACCAGCCTATATGAATCCCAGCCCCTCTTAACAGCAAAAAGAAGGAATGCCAAATTTGTAAACTCCTGAAACATGTATGCAGTGGGAGGGCAGCCAGGCTTTCTATACGAGACCACATCCGGCCTGCGCTGAAAGCACTGCACTGGCTGCCAATAGCTTACCGGATTCGTTTTAAGGTGCTGTTTTTGACCTTTAAAGTCCTATATGGTCAGGGGCCTGCCTACTTGAGGGCCTGCCTTTCCCCACATGTGCCCCAGAGAGCACTGAGGTCAGGGTCACAGAGTCGCCCGGCTCTCCCTGGCCCGAGAGACGCCAGGTTGGCTGCTACCAGAGCCAAGGCCTTCTCAGTGGCGGCTCCATACTGGTGGAATGAACTCCTGGATAACATCAGGGCCCTGCAGGACCTTTTACAGTTCCGTAGGGCCTGTAAAACGGAGCTCTTCCACCAGGCTTTCAACTAGGAGCCACCACTGACCAATGTGCTACTGGAACACGCTATGGCCTACATAAACACCGGCTGGATCCTGCCTCCCGTGAGGGAGTTGTATACTGATGCCGTCGTCATTTGCACTGCTCTTGTTGGATTTTACGATGTTATGTAACTATCGATGTATATCTTACTGCATGTTAGTGCACTGATTGTTTTATAGTTTTAATGCTGTTCGCCGCTTTGAGCCAGTTTCTGGCAAGGCGGGATATAAATTGCAATAAATAAATAAATATTGACAAACGAAATTATTTTTCGTTTACAAACTCTCCTGTTAGCTCACAAACTAATACTTGGGGAGTCCACGACTCATGTGGCAGTCTCTCCCTTGCCTGCGTATGGACCTGGTCCACTCCACTCATGACAGTCCCTATGAATCATAGAATCATAGAATGTTAGAGTTGTGATCCATCCAACGGTAGCACCATCCAGCCCACGCTTAACCAGCTTATCCTCAAGGATATCATGTCCTTCTTAGGAGTCATTCCTCCCTTCAGCACCTGAGAATCAAGGGACACGGGAGCCTTACCCAGAGTGGCCACCTCCTGATGATTGTCCTCCATGACTTCCTTGTGCAGGATTCTTTGGTCCGGATCCAGCAGCACCCACTCCTCCTTGGTGAAATGAACAGACACCTCCTCAACACTCACCAGACCCTGAAAAGAGACCAAAAAAAAAGGAAGCAGTCTCTCCTTACACTAATGGAGCAATTTTTTTCCTTCTAAGGGCAATCCAAAAGGCCTGCGGTTAGATGCTGGGATAGAGATGTGAAGGCCCGGGAAAAAAACGGAAAAATTTGGGGGGAAAACGGGTTTTTTCCGTTTTTTTCCTGAAGCCTTTTTGTTTTTTTCCAAAAAATTGATTATGGAATGTTTTATTTTAACATGATGAATAAAATATTTTAAGACAAGGTGTTCAAATATTTTCCAAATCATTTCTAAAATATAGTATATATGGTATCAGATTGATGTAATTTCTGTGCAGAGGACAAGCAAGTCCTAGGTTACAAACTGAACTCTCCAATGCAAGAACAAGACGCATTTCTTCCTTTAGGAGGTGCGATTGACAGAAGAAAATAAAAAAGTTTCAGTTTTGTTTTTGCGTGTGGGTGGGTATTCTGTAATAATTGTTTGGATACACTATATTTTTAATATGCTAGTTGTGATAATTTCATGCCAAGTAAAAATGTCCATAGTCATATTTTATGTTCCTAAAGTAACAGAATGACTTTCGAACTAGAAAAGACAAAAGAAATGCTAATGTAGCATTTTTTTCAATTTTTCCGAAAATGTCGTTTCCCCCCCGAAAAAAACGGGGAAAAAACGGGTTTTTTTCCGAGCTTCAAAATTTCCGGAAATTTTACATCTCTATGCTTGGAGTATTCAAACCTTCATAAGGTACCTTCATTTTCTGTTGAGTGAGTAGTGAAGGGAAAGA